ACAGACACAGACACACATAAACACACACACATACACGCACAGACACACACACACACACACACAGACACACACACACACGAAAACTGTGTGCTTGCACGGGAATTTAAACACAACGGACATACGCAGCTGCATGAGTGAGTGTGACGAGGAAAAGATTGGATGTGTATTCAATTCGAGTACAATCACAGCACCCGGGATGAATATGTTTGGGCTAGTCACAAGGGAGAGGCGATACCCCCTTTAAAGGAGAGAGAGAGAGAGAAACCGAGAATCTATTTTAGCGAGACATCATATCGATATCATTTCGCCACACAGAGAGAGCCAAGCAAGATACTATCCTAATAATACATCTAACAAAAAAAGAAAAAGATAAAAGAGAAAATAAATCTATGAGTATCCCTTTCCCCTCGACGGCCCTGCAAGCACAGGCAGCCCGACGGCCACAAAGGATTGGCCAGTCAATCCGAGGGTTCAATTGCCGGTGTCGTGTACCAAGCAAGGGCTGTTAACCCCAGGGGCGAGCAACACGATGCGAGAGCCAATGCCGAGATGACCTGCGACGATATTGCAAGGGGTGAAAGTACGCTTGGGTGAGGGGGTGGGGGGGGGGTGTGTGGGGGGGGGGAGGCAAAACAAACAGCGGTGACGTATGACTCGAAATTATTGATCTGTGTCTGTTTTTCGGTTTAGTATACGCTTTTTGTTGTTTGTTTTTTGTTTTTGGGTTACGCTTGGGTTAGGGGAGGGCAAAACAAACAGCGGTGACGTATAACTCGAACTTATTAATCTGTGTCTGTTTTGATCTTTAATATACGTTTGTTTTTGTTTGTTTGTTTTTGTTTTTTGGATTACGCCTGGGTCGGGGGGACCAAAACAAACAGCGGTGACGTATATGGCTCGAAATTATTGATCTGTGTCTATTCTTATCTTTAATATACGCTTGTTGTTTTTGTTTGTTTGCTTTTGATTTTGTTTTGTTTTCTTTCGCAAGCACGGCCTCAAGTCCCCTCAAGTGAAGTTTCTTTTCCTCTTTCTTGCATTCTTTGGTATTCGTTCTCGACCGTCGTTTCCCTCCAAATATTCATATATCTTTTCCTCGTCGTGATCAAGCACATTATTCTATTCCTTGCCCATTTCCTCATTGTGCAGATCATCCCCTTGGCCTCTCAAAAGACCATACATCAACATAAAATCATTTTACAGAAAGATGAATCACGTACTCCGCTCTCATTCTCCCGCAACCAGGAGCCGCAGGAGTTGCATGATGTCGCACCCCCCCTACCCCACCCACCCCAGCCTCCGCCGCAGCCCGTTCGTGGCACCCGCATGTCAGGCCCCCGATCCCTGACCACGTGGGCATGCGGTCAAGGGCCCCCCCCCCCCGCCCCTCGCCTTCCCTCCCAGATGTGGTTACGGGTCAAAATTGCCGTCGAATGCTGCCGTTGTGCGTGGCTGGTTTATGTGTGGCCCCTTTGCGCTCCTCCCTCTCTGGCTCTCTCTGGCGCTCCTCCCATTTCCTCCTTTGGTCCTTCTGTCCCGTCCACCTCCCTCTTTATTCCTGCCCTTCCACCTCCCTCTTTATTCCTGCTCCTTCCACCTCCCTCTTTATTCCTGCTCCTTCCACCTCCCTCTTTATTCCTGCTTCTTCCACCTCCCTCTTTAGTCCTACCCCGACCACTTCCCTCGTTATTCCTGCTCCTTCCACCTCCCTCTTTATTCCTGCTCTTCCACCTCCCTCTTTATTCCTGCTCCTTCCACCTCCCTCTTTATTCCTGCCCTTCACCTCCCTCTTTATTCCTGCTCCTTCCACCTCCCTCTTTATTCCTGCTCCTTCCACCTCCCTCTTTATTCCTGCTTCTTCCACCTCCCTCTTTAGTCCTACCCGACCACTTCCCTCGTTATTCCTGCTCCTTCCACCTCCCTCTTTATTCCTGCTCTTCCACCTCCCTCTTTATTCCTGCTCCTTCCACCTCCCTTTTATTCTGCTCCTTCCATTCCCTCTTTTATTTCTGCTCCTTCCACCTCCCTCTTTATTCCTGCTCCTTCCCTCCCTCTTTTTTCCTGCTCCTTCCACCTCCCTCTTTATTCCTGCTCCTTCCACCTCCCTTTAGTTCTACCCCGACCACTTCCCTCTTTATTCCTGCTCCTTCCACCTCCCCTTTAGTTATTTGGCTTCTTCCACCTCCCATTCTAGTTACGTCTCTCCACTCCTATTTTTTAGTCTTTTAGTCCTGCCTCTCCCATCTCCCTTTTCGGTCCTGCCCCTTCCACCCACCTTTATTCCCGCCCCTTCCACTTCACCCTTCAATCCACCTGCTCCTTCCACCTCCCCTTCATTCCTGCTCCTTCCATCTCCCTCTTTATTCCTGCTCCTTCCACCTCCCCTTCATTCCTGAACCTTCCCCCCCTTTATTATTGCACCTTCCACCTCCCTCTTTATTCCTGCTCCTTCCACCTTCTTTCCTGCCCCTTCCAACTCCCTCATTATTCCTACCCCTTCCACCTCCCTCTTTATCCCTGCCCCTTCCACCTCCACCTTCATCCCTGCCTCTCCCATCTCCCCTTTCACTTCTTCAGCCCCTCCCATCTTCTCCCCCGCTTCCTTCCTTCCTCCTTCCTTCCCATCTTCAAACTACGATGACATCTGAAGTAATACGTCATCACGGGGCGATTACCCTTACAAGTGACTCCGTTAATTGAATAATGAAAACGAGTTGCGTCAGTTTCCTCGTTAACGAATACGTATCGAAATATCTCCAAACACACTCTTGTGAATAAAAATAAAAGGATCACATACTCGTTTTATCTAAAAAAAAAAAAATCTTGGAAAGTTCGTTCGATCGCAAGTGAGCCGGAATGCAAGTCGTTACAACAGGCCCCACCAGACGAATAAATTTATTTTCTTCTTTTAGATCCTAACACAAGACTACCTCCCCCCCCCTCCTCCTCTTCCCTACCACTCTTTCCCCCCTCTCCCCCCCCTCCTCTCCACCACTCCTTCCCTCATACCCTCATAAAATCCCAGCTGTCTGGATTTCGCAATACACCAAAAACATCAACAAATAGATATAAATATAGCTTGTCAGCGGAGTAATCGGTATTCTGAAGAGTGACTGAAGTGACAGGGTGGGTGAGGTGGGTAGGGAGGAGGGAGGGAGGGAGGGAGGGAGGGAGGGAGGGGAGGGAGGGAGGGAGAGAGAGAGAGGAAGGGAGAGAGAGAGAGGTAGGAGGAAAGGAGGGAAGGAGGGAGGGAGGAGGGAGGGGAGAGAGAGAAAAGAGAGAGAGACAGAGAGAGGGGAGAGGGAAGAGAGGAAGGGAGAGAGAGAGGAGAGGAAGGAGGAAGGAAGGAGGGAGGGAGGGGAGAGAAAGAGTGAGAGAGACAGAGAGAGGGGAGAGGGAGAGGGAGGAGGAAGGGAGGGAGGGGTCAGGAGCCAGGGAAAGGTGCCGGAGACTCTCGTTCACGGATTTGTATGCCGCGTCAGGGAGGCCCACCGAACAGAATCTAACTTCCTTGAACAATGAAAGAAAAAAAAAAAAAAAAAAAAAAAAAATCAAAGTTCTACATTTTTCTTTCTTTCTTCTGTAGCACTTAAAACGAAATTCTCCGATAATGAAAATGGTAATTATGAAAAAAAGAAGTAATTAGTATCCTCCATGTTGTTACCGGCGGATACCGTTTAACACAACCGTTATGAAATTGTACCAAATATAATAATAAATAAAAAAAAAATGACCGACAAAAAAGGGGACTTTCACATTACACTTTTTTTTCTTGTCAAGGCATAAACGCTAAAATGTGAAACGAATAATAATAAAAAAAAAAAAATAACAACAGCTCTCAATAAACCGTATAATAAGTATTGGGATGATATTAAATGAGAGAAAAGAAAAGAAGAAAAAAAAACAGAACAAGGACAGAGGAAAGGAGCGAGGAGTAAAACGAATAATAAAAATAATAATAATGATGATAACTGCTCTCCACATCCCAGCAGAATAAGTACGGAACGATATTAAAAGCAAAAGAAAAAATAAAGACATAGGAAAGGAGGGAGGAGGAGGAAGATGGAAAAGAGAAGGAGAGTAATAGGCGAGGAGGTGGAGGAGATGGAAAGAGAAGTAGGAGTAATAGGAGAATGGAGGTGGAGATGAAAAGAGAAGGAGGAGAAATAGGAAGAGGACGAGGAGAAAGAGGAAAAAGAAGAGAAAGAGGAGAAACAGGGAGAGGAGGAGGAGGAGGGGATGAAGAAAGAGGAGCAAGAAGAGGAGGAGGAGAAGATGGGAAGGAGGAGGAGGAGGAAGAGAAAGAGGAGAAAGAGGGAGTGGAGGAGGAGGGAGGAGGGGAAGGAGAAAGAGGAAAAAGAAGAGAAAGAGAACAAAGAGGGAGTGGAGGAGGAGGGTTAGCAGGAGGAGGAGGAGGGGAAGGAGAAAGAGGAAAAAGAAGAGAAAGAACAAAGAGGGAGTGGAGGAGGAGGAGGAGAGGGGAAGCAGAAAGAAGGAGAGAGGAGGATGAGGAGGAGAAGAGGAGGGGCAGCGAGTGAGCGACAGGTGGAGGGCGCATCGGAAGTCACCCGACACCTGCCGGCCGTTGCATCCGCTGTCACAATGCATGTGCGAGTGACATATTGTTTCATAAAGGGGGGGGGGAGGGAGAGAGGAGATGGGAGAGGGGGTCGAGAGAGAGGGAGAGTGAGAGAGAAAGAGAAGGGAGACAAAGGGAGAATGGGTTAAACACCGTTAGGGTGAGGGGCCGGGATGGAGGGAGAGGGTGTAGGGTGAGGGCCGGGGTGGAGGGAGAGGGTGTAAGGTGGGGGGCGTCCCTACTACAGCGTGAGGGTGAGGTGCGAGGGTGAGGGTGAGGGTGAGGGTGAGGGTGAGGTGAGGGTGAGGGTGAGGTTTGGTTACACA